GGCTCCTATAAAGTGCTCTCCAAAGTCCTTGCATATAGACTCAGGACTCTGCTCAACTAGGTCATTTCCCCCACCTAGGGGACCTTCATAAAGGGCCGCCAAATTCTAGATGGAGCTCTCACATCCCACGAGTATATCCACTCTAGCTCCATATCCAAGATCCCTGGACTTATCATTAAACTGGATTGGGAGAAAGTCTAGGACCATGTTGACTGGTTGGTGTTTGGACCAAAGTAGAGAAGGTGGATCAAGGGTTGCATCTCTAGCCCTGTTTTGTTGATGCTTTTAAATGGGACCCAAAAGGCTACTTCCCAGCCACTAGAGGTCTTTGCCAGGGTGAGCCTTTAGCGCCCTTTTTGTTTGCCATATGGGCTTGAGTTCTTCATCATGTCCATATCAAGGTTCTACCAGGCGGGATTTTTGAGGGGATTCCAATCTAGCAATCATGGCCCAACAATCTCCGACCTCCAGTATGCAGATGACACCTTTGTCTTCTTTGACCCCTCAGAATACCAAGTCTGACAACTTTTTGTGTTTTCTCAAATGTTTTGAGATGGCAACAGGTTCAAGGTGAATCTCGCCAAGTCTAAGATGATGGGGGTCTGCACCGACCCTCTACGAAGGCAGTCTCTAGGCAATAGATGGGCTGTTCTGTGAATGAATTGGCCTCGAATTACCTGGGCCTCCCCCCTTGCTTCTGTATGCCTCAAATCTCGCAATGGAGTCACATTATTGACAAGTTCGATTGGAGATTCGTGGTTGGAAGGGCAGATTTCTATCCAAGGTGGATAGGCTCATGCTTATCAAGGCCACCCTCGCCAATACTTCAGTTTTTCAGATATCCTTATTCCACATCCCTGCTGCAGTGGCTGCAAGGTTGGAACGATTGATGCGGGAATTCTTTTGGGCTGGGGAACACGGGCACAAATATCACCTGGTGTCATGGCCTAAATTATGCCTTTCCAAATCTCAGGCAAGTCCTCAAGGGGGCGTGCGGATTCATAATCTCACAAGACAGCCCTCTTGGGCAAGTGGTGATGGAGTTTTGCCACCCATGACCCAACCCAATCACCTGTTGAGGGAGGTCATCAAATTTAATTATTACCACGGAAATGACCAATGGATCCCTGAGTACAGAACTACTAGGCCTATCTCTGGCTTTTGGAGATCTGTTCTTTGATGCCATGATTCCTTCCTGCAACACATTCGCTCTTGCCCGAGGGAGGGGAATACGGTGAGGTTCTCACTTGACAAATGGATAGGCCACCGCCCACTCAGGGAATAGTTTCCTAATCTCTATCTTCTGGCATGTGATGCTCATTCCTCAGTGGCAGAAATTTTCACTACCACTGGGGCGACAAGATCTTGATCGCCCAACTTCAGAAGGCCTGTTGCCGATCATGAGCTCGATGACTTCAGTGCGCTGACCGGATTGCTTCACTCTGTCTTCCTCCCTCTTTGTGGAGAAGATACGATCTTCTGGGCACCGGCTGCCTTGAGCACCTTCTCGGTGACCTCTTTCTTTCTTATACTCATCTCAAATCTTAACCCCGCCTCTCCTACCCTCACCCTTGGATCCAAAGCATGTGGCTCCCTCTCCTATCACCGAGAATTCAGGTCTTTTGTTGGAATGCGATCCAAGAAGGGTGTTTACCATTGATCAAATCTAGAGAAGAGGTGTTCCTTGCCCTAACAGATGCGTCATGTGCATGGAGGCCAAAGAGTCCAACGCACACTTGTTCTTACACTGTGAGTTTGCCAGTGCCCTGTGGACTGCTCTACTCCAACTTTTTGAGTGCACTTGGGTCACCCCCAGATCCATTCCCCAACTCTTTCAGGCCTTTCTCTTCACCCTTTGGCCCAAGGCAGGGAGAGTACTTTGGAAAGCCTCAATCACAGCCACTTTATGGGTCATTTGGCTCGAAAGAAACGAGAGAATTTTCAGGGGAGAGAGATCCACAGTCGCATCTCTGCTCGACAAAATTTGGTATCTTGTAGCCTTATGGGCCATAGATCATAAACTTTTCAAGGGCTTCTCTGCCATAGATTTTCTACTTAATTGGCAAAATCTCTTGCATGTATCAACACCTTCGATCTCCCCGGGCTTCTTTATGGAGACCACCAAAAGACGGCACCCTTAAGTTTAACTTTGACGGTTGCTCCCTTGGCAACCCAGGTCCCTCAAGCATTGGTGGCCTTTACAGGTGAGTGATGGAAGTACCCTGTTGTCTTTTTCAGAACCCATTGGGACAACTGATTCCACTCTTGCTGAGGCTCTGGCCTTGTTGGAGGGCCTTCGCAGGTTTGATCACTCCTGGAATACCGTGCTACTGGTGGAAGGAGACTCCAAGAATATTAGTACCTTGGCCTTCAATCTCTCACCCTGGCCATGGCGTTTAGATCACATTTTTGTAGAAAGAAGCAAGGGCGCGTTAGTGCCGCTAGCACCGCGCAACCGTTTTCTAGTTTACACCTCTTAAGTGGCATCAGGGTATCCTGGATGCATATCTATAGAGAAGCCAGTACAGCGGCGGATTTACTGGCTAAGGAGTGGGCCTAATCAAATACCACATCGGGTCTTAACTTTGGTGCCCCTTCTTTCTGTTCTTTCTCATCCATTCTCTGTCTCTTCTATCTAACTGTAAAGTCTTTTTGAATCCTCCGGGGTATTGTGTTGGGCACCCAATGTGGGGTGCCTGACTTTTGTACAATTTTATTCGAGTGATACATATATAGTGAACATCCTCAAAAAAGAAAGGACTTCATTAAGAACATCAGCCTTGGAAGAAGATGTGGGACCATATGCTTGGTTTGCTAGATCCAAAACAGTAGGAATAGAAGGGACGAAAAACGACCCATGTGGCTGCTTTGTAGGTAATGGCAGAAAGTCCAAAACTTGCACATCTTCGTCAACAGGAGCCTGGGATGCTGTGTCATTCTCATGCATAGAAGGATCCTTAGATTTCGTCGCATGTGGAAGAAAACTTGAAAAAAGGTAAGAAAATGAGGGTTCCGGATTGTCACCATGGCTGCCCCACCATTGGCTACATGAGAGGGTCATGCAGGTGCACGGACATGGCTGCTCTCAGAGATCTTGGACATGTCTCTCTCCATCCCTGCAAAAATTCAAAAACGAAATATATCAGCATGTCGATTGAGATAAGGGCCGTAACCTGGTGGTGGTCTCGCCTACTCAGGGTCCCGGGAGGGGTAAGCTGGAAATGGTCCTAACCTTTGGCTTTTTTATATACAAAGTGCCCGCTCTCAGGTCTTGAACCCACGCTCATGCGCTGGCAAACCGAGTCTTTTACTGTCATACCAAGTGACGGCCCCTAGCATACTGAGTGAGATATATCTCCAAAATTGTGGTTCGCTGATCATTGCGTTGTCAGCTTGCTTTAGGCCACTGAAAACTATCCTTGCAAAGTGCGTCTCAAAATATATCAGCCTACTGAGTGAAAACCCAAACATAAATTGTCTCTAGAAAAGTGTTAATCAATCTCAATGTACTTGATGCAAGCATGAAAAACCAGTTGGCGAGAGAGTCATTGTACTGCAAAGTTCAAACCACTGCTATCAGATTCACTTAGAGAGCTCTTCATTTTGGCCGGTAAAGGGAAGCACTTTGGCTCTTTGGCTGATTCAGGACACGTCTTCGGATGTATTTCAAAAAAAAATAAAAAATCTGAAATACATATTGATTAGGTAGACACTTTCTAAGAGAATTCTTGATATATCCAAAAATTTGAATATATCAGGCATATTTTAAAATTTTTGAATGTTTGTTGTGCATTTACCATATTTTTTGAAATGTTTGGCATATCTCCAAAATCTTTCCCGATATTTTTCAAATTTCAGGGATTCGCTATGCTTTGGTCCTGGGGCCAAAGCCAAAGAGTTTGGCTGAGCCAAACAGATCTGTTGACACTGCTTTAGTCTATTACATGTTGTGCCAATCTTTGGCTGAGGCAAACAGATCTGTTGACACTGCTTTAGTCTATTACATGTTGTGCCAATCTTTTAGCAAATTACAATTGCCAATTGCAGAACTTAAACAAAATTTCTCTTCTTAAGGTGTTTCCTTGTGCATCTTACACGATTTGCAGATGGTGATTTATTATGGAATCATGGCTTAGAATCTCTGTTTTCATATCATGTTAAAGTTAAAAAGTCAGAAACCAAGGTGATAAACTGTGTGAGATGACAATATCCCAGAGGACTAGATTTTGTGACTGATATTATCTTAGAGTAATTGTGGAGCTTTCAACTTAAGCAGTTTTTTCATTGCTATACAAGTATTCCTTTTTTTTTGAACAAGAGAACTTTTTTTCCTGCATAGACAGTGTCAAGCTTGTTTATATTATCAAGTTCTGATCAACAAATTGAGGAACGTTTGAGCAATAATTTGTTCACACTGTTTGAGATACACATTCCAATAAGTGGATTTGAAGAATTTACATCATGTATGCAAGGCTCTAAAAAGACAAGCTGGGTGAATTTGCTTGTTTTTTGAGACTCTGAAAGTAAATTTGTTCTGAATTGAGCTGCAGTACAAAGATGCTGCTTATTGGGAGAAAACTGACATCTAGATCTAAATAAAATTTTGTGTACTTTGCTTCACATCAGTATGTGCTCCCATCACTTGAGCATGCATGAAACTCTATGTATTCATGCTCTTTTGGTATTCATTTTGTGTACTTTGCTTCACATGGGTATGAGCACATATCAAAATATTGTTGCTCTGAGATACCAAGGAGGCGGTAATAATTTCGGCTGCTCCCTCCCCCCTCCTGGTGCTCGCAAATATCTTGAGTTACCTGTTTCTAATATTTGACATTTCTGGTTACCATATCATTTCTATCAGTTAATCATGTAAACAATCCTGCAAATGTTGCAAGACCTTGCTAGCTAAAACAGATTGTAAGTCTGTACTTCAAACTTCGACATGTGATTTGTTTGTAATCAGTCGCCATTTTTTTTCTTGAAAAATTGGGGTCCAGGTGGCAAATATGATTAGGTTCTTGGTCGATAGTTACAACAAGCCAATTCCAGCCATCTTGGAGATTCCCTCGAAGGACCATCCATATGATCCAACACATGATTCGGTTCTGTCCAGAGTGAGGTACTTGTTCTCTGCCGAGTCGGTGGCATCGGATAGGCGCTAAAGTCCTTATTGCATAATGGCCCTTGCCTCTTTGTACGAGTGCAATTGTTTTGCTATGTAATGTGGAGTGCTTTAATGTATTCTTTTGCAAACAGAGTTGCCACTGTGGCGTGCTGTGCTCTTTTCCTTTCCTTTAATCGAGAAGTGTTCCTTGGGAAGTGATACATGTAAGTCATAGTGAGCAGTTTTTAGAGAGTAATGGGAATAAATGATATGAATGGTGGGCTCCTTGTTGACTATTATTGTTGTTGTTGTTGGTATTATTATTCAGATGGAACTTTTGTGTTGAAAATCGTAGGATTGTGTAAGAATCTATTGTTATCTCTAAAATTTGAAATTTCAATAGTGATTCAAATCGAGCAAATCTATAAATGCATGAAAATCTTGAAAATGGATGGCTAGATATGTGTTGTAGGATGTACAATTTTTATTTTATTTTAATTTTTTTGAGAATGAGTCGGGGTCGTGGTGGTAGCACCATTAGTGCTTCAGTTAAAGTTTAAGCTTCCATTCTCACTTAATACATTAAAAAACCACTAACGATTCGAAAAAAAGGCAGGGGCTCGTCATCCCTATTGAAGTACTCCAAAAAAAAAAAAAAAGAGGATGTACAATTTTTAGGATTCGAAATCTCTCTTTCTCCACATTTATACATCTTGATGTGGAGATGATCAATTAGATTATTATTTTTTCTTGTTGACAAGGTTATATAGGAATGGAACTTGAGATGTTGGGCTATGAAAACAAAGGTTCTACCATCTCAATCCAAACCCGATTTCTATGATCAATTAGATATTTTTCCAATGTCAAAACAATTTTGTTCGATTAATTTTAGAGGTGCACTTTATTTCTTCATTTTAAGGTGTCAACCGTATATAAACTATATTATTTGGGTACTATGCGGTTTTATACGGTAGGGCCTCACTAAAGATTTCAGCACATGGGAAGGACTACCCCATGAGCAAAAAGAAACACAGAGAGACGGAAGAAAGATAAAAAAGAAAGAGAATAAACCCTGAATAACAATGAGGAGAAATTTTGTTCAAATTACGTATGAACACTTAAGACGGACAAGATTTTAGTATTCGTAATTTGTGAGCGCAAGGCAAAAGGTATCATCGAATATTGTATTATGAGAGAATGTAAGTTTGAGCTCCTTCCAAATTCTCATCCTAGAGATTGGCACAGATCGGTGCGTAACCATAAGTTCTGGGAAAAATGTTCAATAACGACACATAAGTAGTGAGCCAATTTTGTAAGAGCAACCAACTTGTCTATACCGGTTCATCTTGGACATTGTTTGCAAAATTACTCGATCTAACTGCTAATCGCTCGGTTAGATCGGTAGACATTGTTTGCAAAATCATTCGATCTAACTGTTAATCGCCTAGTTGGATCGGCACGGGGCAATGGCCAGTTTTGGTTTTGGGCGGTTAGGGTGATCAACTGGTATGTTAAAGCAAATTTTCAAAAAATGTCTATAATTCTTAAAAAAATAAGGAATTTGATTTGTAATGCATTTTTAAATATTCTTTACATTATGGTAAAGATTAAAATTTATTTTGATCATTAATACTCACTTTTATATTTTCGCATCTTTTTTAGAAAATTTTAAAAATAGATTTTAAAAAATATAAAACGGTTAAAATCCATTTTTTTTCATTAATTTTGAACTTCATTTGAATGTGTTTTGTTTTAGTCATTGTTTATATGCTTTTCATATTTTAGTAAAAAAAAATTGTATTTTTTTAAATTTTTTTAACACTTTTTTTACCACCCGGGAATTGCCCGGTTAGAGCGGTTGAATCGGCCGGTTTATCGGTTAGCCCATGTCCGGTTAACCGTTTCGGTTCGATTTTGTTGTGGGTTCTTGAGATATTATTTAAAAGCATTTGAAACATAATAAAAACAAATATGCTTTGTTTTTGTGACGTTTTTCTTTTGGGATTGTATATAATGAGACCATTTACCTTTGATACAAGTAAATGGTAAATGAGACCAGTTACCATCTAATGTAAATCTAATGGCTTGGATGTGTCACAAAGTTTGAAAAAAATTATTTTGAAGTTTGAGCTTGGTCATTTGAATAAATGTAACCATCAAATGTCACATCCAATGGTCAAGATTAATTGTGATCACCTTGTACCAAAGATAAATAGGTCTCATTGTAGTTTTGTCCATGGACTAAACACTATGCTCTATAAAGATTTTGGAAGATATTCTTAATTTGATTATATCACGTAAAAAATATTGAGGTGTTCAAATCAATTAGTTTGTTACTAAAATGATTATTTTATGGTATTGGTAGATCTACATTCAGTGTCGTCTCCTTTTAATATCCATTACTTCCCTTGCAATACCCATCTTAGAGAATGATTTGTATTTATTTAAAATTCAATATGTTTAGAATCTTGACAACCACAATCATGTATTTGATAAACAAATAAATATTGAATAATAAAAATTGGTGATTTTAATAGGATTATTTTGACTTGTTTTAGTTCTTTGAAGATGATCTATATTTAATTTTTTTGGTTTTATTTATTGATTTTTTTTTCTTTAAGACCCATTAGTGATAAAGATTACTAACTGGAAAATGTTAGCTCCAAACTTTTTCTTTAAGGTGAATTTTGAAAGAAAAAACATTAGATTTTTCCTACTTTAAAAGGTTGCCTCCAAGATAAAATTATTATTAAATGTTTAGAATGCTTGTGTTTAGGATATAAGTTTAGTAGTTTGGTCCCAGACTAGACCAAATAATGTAAATGTCCATGTTTGTTCAGTATTATAAACTCAAAATATAATAATTTCTATTTAAAATATCATCTTATGTTTGAAACCTAGAATGAGCATCGTTGTTTACAATTTCATCATTTGCCTCGACATGTATCCTAAACTAGGTAATGACTCTCACTAGTTTAGAATTTAAAACAAGGTGTGGTTTGTATACAATCAAAGTAAATCGCGCTTTCAAATAGTGTAAATTTAAATTTTAAAATATTGTAAATCGAGCATACCTATGAAAATCTTGAAAATTGACGATCCAAAAATGCGTTACAAGATGCACTATTTCGAAAACATGAAATCCATTTTCTTCTCATGTTCAAGCATCTTGATGTCAAACCGATTACTTTGAAAATATTTGGGCATAAAAAACACCTCTTCTAGTGAAATTTTTGAGGTGTGCTCTATATAAATTTTTTCCGCACGAGTCGTTATAATAATTTGCCTTGCTCATGTCATGGATCTAATACTAAAATACTTCTACTTGTTTAAGAGCTTGAACACACAACAGTTTGGGTACATTTTCTAAAATGATGAAAAATAATTGAATAATCTTATCACGGAACTATCTATTAATAAAATAAAAATGTTTATATAAGGCATCAACTTTGTACTATAGAAGACGTGAAGTGCACCCCAAAAATTCACTCAAAAAGGGTTTTTCGACAATGAAAGATCCTGAGTGAACATATTGACCTCAAAATAGATAGACAAAAAACAAAAAGTAAAAATTTCAAAAATTCTACTAACAGTTCATCTTGTAACACTTTATCTGCGGTTTCTATAAAGTTGCAATTCTAAACAATCCCTTGAAGGCACACCTCCAAATTGTCTCATAAAATATAATTTTGGTGAAAAACATTGTTAGGATTATCCCAAAATCTATTTTCATATCTAAATATAAAATTTTAAACTAAAAAAATGATTAAAATCAAGTAGATCTATAAACAAATGAAAATCTTGAAAATGGACGGTCTAGATCATATCTTACAAGATACAATATTTCAAGGACTCAAAATATATTTTTTTTAAAAAATTAGTACGTCCCGATGTCGAGATGATCAATTAGAGGTTTTTCTAATATTAAAACAACCTTTTGCGATGGATGTTTTAGGTGCATCTTATATAAATGTTTTCTTTATCTAAAATGTCTATTTCTAAAAACTTTTAAATGTTTATAGATTTGCTCGATTTCAATGGCTTTAAATTTTTATAACAATAGATTTTTAATCTATTGATGGACTTTTCTGCAAAGTTACATCTTCCATTAGATTTAGTGCTGCGTCTCAATTTTATTCTTTAATTTTTGACACCCTAGGCTTTATGCAAACCTCAATTTAAGAAAATTATTAAATTAGCACCTTGATTATTTTACGAGATGGTTTAGCTGTTTTATCTTTTTCCAAATGACCGGTGGGAATCAAAGCAAGGAGAAGCGGGGTGAACTCATATTCGAACTTTACGTATTATTATTATTATTATTATTATTAGAATCAAAGCAAGGAGAAGCGGGGTGAACTCATATTCGAACAAATATGAATAAAAATAATAATACTTCTACTCCTGAGCAAAGGAGAAAAGCCCCTATGGAAACCTCACTGGATATCATTCCAGTAAATATTACCCAGTCACCAATAAGAATAGAACCTGCTTTATCACCCAATAATAATCCTATTTCCTATTCCCCAAATATCAATTATCCAACTTATTCAAGCCAACCTTCAGCTTCTCCTCCAACTCCAGTTTTCCAAACCTCTACACCAAAAAACCAACTTTATCCAGCAAAACTCCATATCTTGAAACCTATTTTGTTGCTGATGCAATCATAGAATCCAGACATGTGAATGACAACCCAAATAGTGTTGTTAAGTATTACTTATGCAATAATCTTTGTCCATCTATAGGTACAAAAACAAGAGAATGGTACGAAATGATTCTGCTAGAAACAGAGTCTATTTCCTTGGTACATTATAATCAAAAGAATTAAAAAATAGTAGCATATTCAAAATTACAAATAAGGAAAGTATTATCTTTTGAAGATTGGGGGATCAGACCCTTCCAAAGCCAAGAGTAGTTATTTTGTTCTATTACATGTGGAATTAATTCAGCTTTATGTATTATATTCTCTTGGCTTTGGAAGGGTCCGATCCCCAAT